GAGGTGCAAAATCTCAGCACGATTTCCACAAGGGCATTTTTTCAATACTAGTGGTAGTTAATAACTAAATGCCGGGTATCACACGCAGAAAGCTTCCAGACATGACCTGTCCTGTCGGAGGGGGGAACTGACCCCATGCTTTCCCTTTAATGACAGTTTTCGTGTACCATGTGGAGGTGTTGCGATCGAGCTTAAAGTCGGTGCCGTCACAACGTCTCCGGTTGTAAAATCGACGATGACCTCCGGGCTAAGAACTATACATACACATGTGACAACGTGTCTTACTCCGGATCAGCCGTCGCAAAACAATGGAGAACACGGCTAGAGATGATTGTCATGCACCGGTATCTGCTGATCGTTTGTGTGGGTCTACAGTAACGGCGTTTACGCTAAATAAATTTATATCTGGTGCAAACAACTTTTCCGAATCATCCGTGTGCAAGTTGTCTTCCGGGCAACTATCATTGTAAAACATTTCCGATAAATAGGTATCATAGGTTCCAGAGGACAGGGCACCATCAAGCTAGCCCTTGGGAGACAAGAATCCACTATAGTACCGTACTTGTACCGTAGATAGGTGAGGTTTAATCCCGGGATGTGTGGTATCATATCGGCTACATTAGCTTGTACTGTACTGTACAGTACTGTACAAGTATCCATCATAAAATGCATGCCTTCACAAACCACGACAAAAACCCCATAAAAGATCGACATGTTTGATTAGGCTCATTCTTATATCCCCGACTCTTTTTCAGCCTTAACCCGTCTACCCCGGATGGTATTCCTACTCAGCAGTTGAGGTAAAGATCGAAGGGAACGGAGGTCCATACAGCGGGGTAAGATGAGCGCCACCTTTAGAGCCCGGGGAAGTCTGGGCGCCGGTAATCTCCTTATACACAAGACACAAAAACCTATCGCATGATTTGGCCAATTTTCAACCCGCCACAAGATACATAGAAGAAGATGGTCCTATTATCATATCTCTGGACCGAGAACCACGGTCCGTTTATGGTACCGAACCCAACCTATTTACGCCGATCGCTCCCCGCAACGACAGCGCTCTACAGTAGCGAGTAGAGTACCCGATCTCTACTCCCACCTCGGAATACAACCTCCCGATAAGAATGAATACGGTACTCGCGACGCCGCAATCGGCACTAGAGAATCCCGGGGTATTCTCCACATCTCACAGGCCGTCCTAAGAGCGGTGGATGATACCAGTCGGCTGTCCATACATGGTGGAGTAGTGATAACGTATCTCATCATTTACTTGCGGCGAATTTCTACTGCCTTAGGCCACCCCTTCAAAAAAAAAAAAAAAAACCAGATCTCTTACAGTGCACAAATGACGACAAAAAGGCAGGGGCCAACGAAGAAGAAAAAAAGTGCTGACTTCACTTCGCGAAATATCATGGTAAAAGCAATATTACCGAGATATCATAAGTGCGAATTACCAAAAGGCTGATGCGCGCGCATTGAAGACAATCGGCAGTGCCAAGCATCTGCGCAGCACATCGCATTCCCTTGCCGTAGGTCGGTAGCGCCCAATCTGGGCTGAGAAAGTAGAAAACCATTACTCTCTTAAAGCCTCGGTGATCCAAACCATACTCCCACTAGATGTGCTCTACTCGTACAGTAGTAGTACATAGCCAGATGCTGTTCCTCAGTAATGATTTTTCGACCATCATTCACATCCCGTAATCAATTCCTTGGGGAGGGGGAAGTATCCCCTAGCATAATTTGCAGTGCTATAGATAACTTCGAACCGCAGAGCCCGAGACATCCGTAATCCCCCGCCCCCTCCCAAAAAGCGACAAAAATTACAAATAACGCAACATCCAGAAACGAAGAGTATCATACCAAACCTACCGTAAAGGGAAAAAAAATTGGAATCTACTGCCCGTATCTCCGTCGGTCAGCGCGATCGGGTACGTCTGGTCTGACCAACTTGGCAGGATCGCGAAAACCAGTTAACGAGATACAACACATCCAGTGTGGCCAACCTTTTTGCTACATCAGGAAAGCGCTAAGTTAATCCTTCTCGCAGAGGTTCTATCTCTGGATCCTAAGATTACAAATGTTCCGACGGAGGCAATCCCCTTTGATCCACTCGCATCGCATCGCACCGACCTAGCCGCCCACGACAAAATCCATTCCCGAGTGACAAACCATGACCGCGGTGCCGTATCGCCCCAACCCACTGCCACGGATTAAAAAAGTGCGGCGCAGCGGATCGCGCGAGCTGAGTTAAGCTTACATCCCGGAAAAAAAGAATTCGCGAGAGGCGGTATTAAGGTTTTTGCTCTGCGGCAACTCTATCGCGACGGCAGGGCGAGATGAGATGGAGATGGGATGACGGCGATGGTTGGTATCCAGGAATAAAACCATATGGTGGTGATATGTATGGGGTTCTGGACTGGACTGAACCAATACCTACCCCATTCTTGCGGGCGGAGCAACCTGGGAAGTGTTCGCTCCTGGTTTGGTAACTGCCTCGCTAACTGACTAATCGTGGGGCCTTGGATGGATTATATAAGCGAGTTTTGGATCAAGTACGGTAGCCCCTTTCCGATACCCGAGTAGGTGATGGTGAGTTGGTTAAACTGCCATCATGACAAGCGAAAGTTTCAACCCGCGATATCGTATCGTTTAAACATACATTGGCTATGACGTAGGGATACGGCACCAGACGGATGCGCGATTACCGTGCTCGGGCGCTGATTGACAGGCTGGTACGAGTACCGGTACCCTACTTTATGGTGGTGTAGCGAGTACTGTACTAAGGGAGGATCTTCTTCTTCGCTTGCACTGTACGAGAACAAAACTCTCCCGGATCATCCGGTTTTTCATTCTCTTCACCCTCTTGTTCGCCAGTGGCTGTGCAGTATGATACTAAAATAGATTTTTTCTTTTTCTCAATGTCTTTGTTGGCGGCCAGGGTTCAGCATGCCGGCAATGAGGTTAGGATACCGGTATGATACCGGTATTGTAGCTTGAAGCGTTTAAGTGGTGCCAGAGTTCTGGGAGGCCGGGAAAAGTGAGATGCATGCCTGTCTGGATGCTCATTCTTTGCTTTGTTCGTGGATTCTCTCTCTCTCTCTCTCTTCTTCCCCTTTCGCTGTTGGATTCAGGAGTCGAGTGGAATACCGGTACCGGTATTAGATTTGGGTTGCTTATGAGAGAGCTCAGCTGTCGTGTTGTACCTGCGCTACCTCCTCGAGTACTAGTACAGCACTTTGTATCATAGCAGGAGGAGGCTAGTGGATGGTCAAGCTCTATTGTTTCAGGAAGAGGGGTGACCGCAAGGGTCTTGGGGGGTTTTTGCCGGGTTGGTTGCAGGATGAATAATGTCTAGGAGTTTTACTTCTTACTGTGGTTTATTTTTTCCTTTTATCTGTGCTACAAGTATGCTACCGGTGCTGTCGCGCATAGCGGGGGATTTCGATGTGGGTGGTGGATCGGGTCTCATGAGGGGCGGTGGTGGGTGCAGATATATGTGTTCAATCACGGGCTCCTTTCTTTTTGCTTTGTTTGTTTGAGTCGGCCGTCGGTTGGGGCTGCAAATTTCGCCCTTACCCAACGACAGGGCGGGAGGGCGTCGATGATTGTGGTGGTGGCGGCGGTGGTGGAGGTGGTGATAGGACAAGCTTTCAGATGGAGCTATTACCGACACTCGAGCATGGGTTATGGTAGAGTAGATTTCGCACAATCAGGAATCGATAATTTCGTCGTGGCGGCGGCGGAGTCCTGGTGCGCTTCTTCGGGTATCGTTTTCGAGTTGTGTGTGAGGCCCTTTCTTTGCTTTTTACATTTTCCTTTTTTTTTATTTTACTGTATTCGTTTCGTTTGGTTAAAAGTGCCATCCCCGTTGGAGGCGATGCCTTTTTCCTATTAGTTTGCACACAACTGCCCCTTAAACTTACTTTTTTGCGTGCCAAACTTGGGAACCTTCCAACAACCGTTTTGTCACTTCAGTATCGTAGACTTTTTGCCATAACAACTTGGGCCAGAACGGGGGGAGCGTCGTGCAATTGCCAATCCACGGTGGTCCACCACCATATTTCTCCCTCTTTTTCGAGGCTGTCTTTTTTGTTTTTTCACCTTTATTTTTATCTCCATTTCATTTTACGGGGGGGGAAGATCTTCCATTCCGATTTCGACCCCGACAAGGGGGGTTTTGCGGAGAGACGGATTGCTGTCAGGCACCAAATTTGCTCTCTTTCCACGTTTGGAAGCTGTCGAGGCTCCACGCACGCGTCCTCGTCCAACCAGAGAGCCGAGTGTGTTTTCCCTGCCCCGTCCGACGAGAGATTCTATGTTTTGCTAGGATTGGATTGGATGACTCGCTGCCGCTTTGTTCCTGCTTTTCCTGCTTCACCCACTCATTCACCACTCGACTCTCTCTCCCTTTTTCCTTTTCCTTCCTTCCCCCTCCTTCCCTTCCTTCCTTCTCTTTTCTCTCCACTTCACCTCACCCTCCCCCCGCTTGACATTATTATCTAACCGCAATTTCCCCTCCCTCTTTCCCTCTCTTCCTGTTTCGTGTTTTTCTTCTCTTGTTGTTGTCGCTCTTACACTCTCTCGGACTAGCGAGATCTCCTCGCATTTCATTTGCATCCTCTTCTGTGAAGCCTTTCCCTCTCTCTCTCTCTCTATCTCTTTCTTGTACTCTCGCTCAACCTCTTGACTGGTTTGCACTGTTACATCTTTCTCCCTCTTTTGCTACCCTCTGGCCTCAAACCGCAATATCTCCCGATACTCATTTATCTCGTTTCAGGCTTATTTGTGTGTTTGCTTGGTGACTGTGAACATACCTGCTATCTAAACCACCACCCCCCTTCATTCCAAGGGTCCATTGAAGCTCACCATCAAGTATCCAACGCGGCCTCGCTTGGACCAGCGGAATCTTGTAGCCTGCAACACACAAAGGGGAGAGCCCTCGAGACTTGGGAATCACGTTGCTTGGGTTCCTGTTTTTTTTTTTTTTTTTTTTTTTTTTTGCTTCCTCCTTTCCTTCTCCTGTTTTGTTTTTTTCCCATTTGTTCAAAGCATAGACACGATCCCGATGTTATTACGAAAATTCCTCTTGGGCGGATCTGCCTCTTCGACATCACACGCATCTAAATCACCGTCGTCATTACTATCCGCACTTCTCCTGTTCTCTGTACTCGGGGCTCTGCCGGTTCAGGCTACCGATGTGCTCGAAACTAATGGATTCTCAACATGTCTCGCCACTAGCGATATCAAGGTCGATAAGATGAACGTCAAGTACGACAGGGCAAATGGCGTCGTGACCTTCGATCTGGCCGGTTCCTCTTCAAGGGAGCAAAAGGTGAAGGCTGTCTTGACCGTGACGGCCTATGGGAGGCAGGTCTATGAGAAGACAATTGATCCCTGCGTTCAGGGGATCGCTCAGCTTTGTCCTTGTACGTTCCCCTGGGCCGTTTTGGGCATAGTTTTTATTCCCTCATTCGGAGGGTTTCGTTTTTATTTTTATTTTTTATTGCTTCGATGTGATGAGGTTGCTGATGGCTGTTTTAGTGCCCAAAGGAACGTTTGCTGCTAAGGATACAATGGATATCCCCGCCCAGTTCGCTTCGATGATTCCGGCGATCGCTTTCCAGATTCCTGACCTCGATGGTATGGCAAAGTTGGAATTAAAATCTAGCGAGGATAACTCACAACTCGCATGTCTTCAATCCGTAGTGCAAAATGGAAAAACTGCGAATCAGCCCGGTGTTCAGTATGTCACAGCTGGTATTGCTGCCGCTGCGTTGGTTCTTTCGGGGGTTTCGGCTCTTGGCGCCGCCGGCGCCGGGACAGGGGCAGGTCCGTCACCAAACTTTGGGGACGTCATGTGCTGGTTTCAAAATGTTGCCATGAATGGGATGCTTTCTGTCAACTATCCTCCCGTTTATAGGTCATTTGTCAGCAACTTTGGCTGGAGTACCGGTATTATTCCGTGGGAGGGCATGCAGAGGTCTATCGACGGTTTTAGGAAGGTTACAGGAGGTGATTTGACGAAGAACTCGATCGATTATCTGATGAACGCTACCTTGGTGTACAGCGGTGATGGCGGTAGCGAATCTGGCAATACGACTGCCAGTAATAAGACTCGCCGTGCGCTGGATTGGACTGTGGCACAGGTCTTTGAGCGTGCGGTTGAGGTGAATGGGACAACGATTGCAGGCAACGGCACCAATTCTACCTCCACTGATGATGCCCAGGCCAAGGTTATGCACTATGTAGAGGGTGTCCAGGCATATGTTGAAAAATTGCAAATTCCCTCGGCCAATACTTTTATGACTGTCCTGTTGGTCTTCGCCATCGTCATTGCCTCTATCGCTGTCTGCATCCTGTTATTCAAGGTTATCCTGGAAACTTGGTCGTTGTTCGCTAGCTTCCCAAAGTCCTTGACCGGATTCCGCAAGAGGTACTGGGGTTTCTTGGCAACAACCATTGTTAGACTGGTAGGTTGTTGGGCGAGGTTTTTTCCGGCGAGATTTGTTGGCTAACTGATGGCATAGGTGTTGGTGCTTTATGGAACCTGGACTCTGTATTGTCTCTATCAGTTTAGGAATGGTGACTCCTGGGGTGCTCATGTTCTTGCTGGTGTTACCCTCGCCGTTTTCACGGGTGTCTTGGGCTTCTTCGCTTTCCGCATCTTTATTCTTGCTCGCCGCCAGAAGGCCATTGATGATGAGAATGAGGCTGCCGCATTGAAAGGCGACGATGAGCACAAGCCCCATGACAAGCTATTTGAACACAAGCCGTACATGCGTCGTTATGGATTGTTCTACGATCAGTTCAAAACCGACTTTTGGTGGATCTTCTTACCGTTGATCATTTATGCTTTTGCCAAGGGTGCTTTCATCGCTCTTGGCGACGGTCACGGGCTTATTCAGACAGTCGGTCAGTTGGGCTGTGAGGTCATTCTTCTGGTTCTGTTGCTCTGGAACAGGCCATATAACTCCAAGGCTGGAAATGTTCTCAACACCATCATCTCGGTTGTTCGTGTCTTGTCTGTTGTCTGCCTTATCGTCTTTGTTGAGGAGCTGGGCATTGCAGCGGATACCAAGACTGTTACCGGTATGTTTTTTTCTTTCTTTTTTGACATCTATCTTGCTGATTCTGGCTCTAGGTGTCGCCCTTATTGTTATCCAGTCAGTTCTCACTGCTGCCCTCGCCATCTGTATCGCCATCAACGCCATTATCGTCATGTGCAAGCAGAACCCACACACCAAGAGACGCAAAGAGCTTGAGAAGCAGCGTGAAGCTGACATCTTGACACCGTTGGGTCCTCGCCACTCAATCCTTGGTGCACCGGTTGGACATGGCCCTGACGGTAAGGGACGTTATTCCGCTACTCCAACGCGGGACGATTTTCTGTTGAATGATGCTAGCGGGCGAACGGATTACCCCCTGCATCACATGACTCCCGCACCTCCACCACAGCATCCGTTCTCTCACAACAGGAGCGCAAGCTCTTCTAGCGATAGACTGGGGCTGATGAACTCGGCGGCACCAATGCCACTTGCACACGGGAGAAACGATAGCTATGGAGGGTATGATGAGTATCGAGGTGCGCCATATCGGGCACCGGGCCAGGTGTATTGATAGGGAGTGGCATGGGGAATATGAAGAAGGAATGGCTTTGGGGGACATGGGGCGGAAAAATCATGAGAAAGGGATGGCCTTCTTAGCGTCTGATTACTTCCCAAGTTAATTTCCATTCTATTTCAAACAACTTTCTTTATTATTTCATTTTTACATATAAGTGGTTTTGTTTAATTTCAAATCAATAACTTTGTCCCTCCCACACATTCTCACTCATCCTTCTTTTTGTAGTTTATTGAGGTATGGACGGACGGACGGATGGATATATGGGTGTGTTGGGAATGACGAGCTATCGGTTTTTCTTTTTTTTGTTCATTTTAAAAGTTTTTCTCGTCTCCGGCTAACATATGACGTATCCTACCCCCACCGTATCGTGCAGGTATCTACTCACATAATGGACTCCCGGAGACCCTGTATTTTGTTACTTCCCCTGCATAAACTTCTTTTCGTTTTGCTTGGTTTGTTAGTTCGGCTGGAGATTTTCATCTTCAACTTCTGGCACTCCTTTTCCCATTCTTTGTGTTCACATCTTGGATCGTAGGTTGTAGTTGTACTCACCTTTTTTTTTATCTTGTTTGGTGGTGGGTATTGGCGGGGTGTGCTTTCTTGCATTCTTGCTTACTTGGAGATATCTTGATCTGAATACTATATGTGGGGATTTCGTTCGGACCGTATTTTTGGAGGTGGTGGGCATATTGAGGGGGAGGGACGAGGGGGAAAGTTGTGGTTGCTAGTAGTGGTTGAACTGAAGTTTTGTCCGTTTGATAATCCGCCTGCACTGGTGGTGAAAGAGGGAGGGTTGTGAATGCCTCGAGCCCACTTTTTCATGGACCAAACTTGCTGGAGCACAGAGGTGGAATTTTGGTTTCGGTTTTGGGGGTTTCGCGAGGAAGTCCTTGGTGGGTTTGCAGTGCGGTGCTTTTTTACCCGGGGCGTCACTCGTAGGTGGGTAATCACGCGTGCAATGTCCTCCCACTGTTATGGGGACTATCCGCCGTTCCAGGAAAAGGATAGTTGGTCTGGAACGTGTCGGGTATTATACGGGGAACATTATAATATCATGGTACTATACCGGTAAGGGGGGAATAAATGTGGCCAACTTCAACATCGTCCCCCAAAGCGGTCCACCGCAACCAAAAAGAGGCCCGGGGAAAGTGAATGGTATATATATATATGTTTGCAAACCTGCCGCCGGCGATCCTTGATCAATGGAGATCGTCATTTATTCGTTTTGGGCGTGTCAAGTTGGTTAAACGGCAATTTGTGTGTGAAAAAGTGCTTTTGTGGCTCACTGGTGCCGTACTCGTGCAATAATCCTGGTGGAAAAAGTAATTGTGTGATTAAGGGAGAGTACTGTACTGTACTACGGGGCCTCGTGCAGTGTATATAGTGTGTAGTCTAGTTGCTTACCACACGAACCTATAGATTCTCGCAAAACATACATCTTCATATCATACATTCTTCATTACCTGGGAGTTTTTCTGTTCCGCTATGGGGCCGTTGGACATCAAATATCACGAACAGATCTCTGGAAATGGAAGTGGTAATGATGAGACATAAAATTCGGAAAGAAAAAAAAAAAACCCTAGCAATCGAGTAACTTATGGGTCCCCACCCTCCTCCATACCGACCGGCTTATACTCGATCAGAAGTCTTTTTTTTCTTCAAAAAATACCCAATCTAAGGCTAGCCATCTTAGCTCCATCACAGCGAGCCTTCATCTTCTTGAACGCCAAATCCCTAGCGACGTCGGGGCCGCCATGTTTCGGCTTGACGTCGTTGCTGAAGGGACTGAATCCGCAGTCGTCGGTAGCGCCGAGGCGATGTTTGGGGATATACCTCGCCGCGGTGACCAAGGCGTCGCAGACTTCCTCGGCGGTCTCGACGGAGGGGTGGAGGGGGTTGACGACGCCGATGAAGACGACCTGGTCGTCGTGGGAATATCTTCCGCAGAGCTCGTACACCTTCTCCTTATCCGGCTCGCTGGAGCACTGGACGAGGAAGTAACCAGCGTTGATCTGGAAGAGGCTTGGAAGGCTTTTTTTTTTTTTTTTTGGCTTTTGTTAGTTGGTTGTGGATACGTGGGGGGGGGGGGAATAATGGTCTTACAGATCTGCATAGTCGACGTCCATGCTATGCACGGAGTCGCAGTCTCCCCCAGGACAAGTGTGGATACCGATATCCTTGCGCTCCTGGGGGGAGAAGCGCTCCAGGACGCGGTTGTTCAGGTTGACGAAGGTGTCCAAGAGGCTGTAATTGGTCCATGGGTTTCTGGGATCGTTCTTCAATGCTAGACGGCCTGTTTTTCCACGTTAGGTGGTTGGTTGATTATTGTTACTGTGCTGGACGGACGGGACTCAAACGTACCTTCGGTAAAGTCGATAGAGACCCTAACGGCGCCGGCTTCGAAGCATTTACGGATATCCTTCTCGCACTCGTCGACGAGATCGTCGAGGAATTGCTCTCGAGTGTATCCCTCGATGCTCCCCTCGAGGGGGTAGAGAAGGTACAACATGCTCGGCGCGATCACGGCCTGCTTGAGTGGGAGCTTGGAAAACTTCTTGGACAGCTCCAGGAAGTCTGCAGCGTAGTGTTTATATCTGAAGGGACCGCGCGTGAGACGGGGAAGCTGACGGTGGTGGCCATCCTCGAAGATTGCGCTGGAGGTTATCGTAATCAGTATGTGTACCCATCATGATGGACGAACGCCGGAGGACAACGAACAAGTGCTGCCCATCGAGAGTCAAATTCTCGGCGAGCCCACTGCCCCCGAGGGTGTCGAGGAGCGGGTAGGTGGCGAAACTGCTGGCTCTCTGTTCGCCATCCGTGACAGAGGTCTGTCCGACGCTCTCCATGCGGGCAATGGAGTCCTTGCAGACCTGATCTTGGGCTCTGACGAGTTGGTCGTATGTTGCCTGTGGGGTGCGAATCAGTGAACCTTCTTTTTTTTCTTCTTCCAGATTTCTCGCGCAGGGGTTGGTACTGTACCTCACCGTTATCATAGGCCGTCAGCGTCATTTGGAGTTCTTGAGGGCGTGGAAGGGACCCGACATTCTCGACTGGAATAGGCATTGTAGGAGTGATTCTTGATTAACTGGAGGAAATGGAGATTGTTTGTTCGAGTTGGTGGAGGGACAGGAGGCTTGAAGCTATGGGGGGGAGGGTAGGCGCGGGAGCAGATGCTTCTCTTATATTATATACTTTTCCGGTTCCCCGAAGCCCAATGGTATCGAAAATCTCGGTGTCTACTTCAATGGCAAGTGGTTTCTATAGAAAGTACCTCCAACAAGGAGCTTTCTTCATAGGGAGAACAATGGAAGCAGAATGGCAGGTTGTGATGGACCCCAGTAAGGTCCGGTTCGCGGCCAAATATTGGAGCTCTCTGCTGGGTCTCTATTCCCATATGGGAACCTCGCACTGCCCCAGTACCCCGCTGCAAAAGTGGTACCTCTCTCGCCTGGGGTCAGAAGTGCCTAAGACCAAAAACAGTATAACTTTATTCTATATCGACGTCCAGATATCCGGAAATTCTTCGCCTCACATTGGTACCACTAAACATGCATTGGGGTCCATATCAGTGCCCAGTTCCAATGGAATTGAGCATGGACGGTGTTAACAATGGATGAAGGTGAAAGACCGACCACGCAGCGGGGATTTTCTTGGGAGCCGAGTATGGAAAGATGTGGGAGGTATCATATGGTAAACAGCTTGACTCTCTTCGCTCGTCCACCCTTCGTCACTCTCCCCTCTGAATTAATGGTAAAGACAGGTGTATAATATTGTGGATAAAACATAATCAACGCATTCCTGACCCTTCCACGGATCCCCACGCACATCTCCGCGTCCCCACGCACAAACTCCCATGATAGCGAAGGAAAGGCATGTCGGGAGAATTTCTTTTTAAAGATTCCAAAACAATCTAGTACGCCCCCGGGTCATCCGTCAGACTCCCGGAACTTCCACAAGAAAGCTGCAACTACCAACCAACATCCACCCAGAAACCTCTACCCCTACCAGCTGGATACCGAGCTTCTCAACCGTGATGCCGGACATATAATCGCACTCTAATGTCCCGGAACCTTTGTTCCACGGGGTTCTTCCTCTGCTCCGGACAAATTTTTTCAAGATTTGTCCAAGATGCATGGAAATATAACCTTGCTGTCTGTCCAGGATTTTGAGTGTCTTTGGAAATTTGAAAAATCTCAGAATCCCCGCCCGCAGAAAAATAAATTCGGAATTCCGGACTTTTTCGCCCTGTCCTTGGTATTACCGCTGCTCGGAAAGAGTGTCTGATACCATGCGAATGTGTGTGTGTGTGTGTGTGTGTGGCCCACTGGGTTAGGAGTAAGTCATAGATTGAATTGTTCCTCCTCCTCCTCTTGGTCCTGTTCCCAGTCATCCTGCTGCCTGTCGATTGGTTTCTCCTTTCGCCGGCATAAATATTATCGTGGAAGCTTCTTGTCGGTTGCATTTGGAGGATTCCGAGTAGGTAATTCGAACCAAAATCTGAGTGTTAAGTGTCAAGACGTTTCGTCTAGTCTTCCTGCTTGTTTCTTATGTCCTTTTATTCCAAACCTTGTATGGGATAATTTGTCACTAATTATCACTCGACTTTTCGCATTTTTCGAAGGGTATTCTCGTCAACCGTTCCATTCTCCAGGATGTTTCGCCGTCCCGGATACCGTGGCCCACTCTGGATTTAGTTTATGGTGCACACTGTACAGTACTTGCTGGGAATGCTGTCGGGGTGTTTGCAATTGTGGCTGGGTATTGTACTGTGAGGTGTTGTGTCATACATACAGATGTATCTTGTCACGTGTCAATTTTGATGCAGTTGAATGGTTGAATGGTTTACATGAGAGCTTGAACCGATGAATATGGTGTACCCTGAAAGTTGGAAGTTAGTCTACTCGCCAAATGCAAAAGTACCTACGATATCATATCCAGAAGAGTCTCACGCCAAGGTGCCAAGCTCTCATAGAAATTTGTATGGTTAAGGTCCGTTGATTGTCCGGATACTTTTCAGATTTGGCCCAGACTATCCCTGTTACAACTTATATTATTACTAAGCAATTTCCCTCGTTTGCGCACAATACTGTTCCGCTAGGCGAGAGCAAGAGGCTCTGGGACACGGTGGTATCTTTGTCGCCTCAACCTTGAAAATTAACTGGCCCATTCAAGTTTCTCCAAACACGCCTCTGGCCAACGCGACAACTTTCGATCCCCCCTCCCTCCCTCCTCCTTCCTCCCCACATAACTCCGCTCGAGCTTCGATAGCACATCACCTGTCGCTCGTTCATCGAATTTTTGGGTTCAGAGGGCGTTTAACGCCTGTTCTCTTCTTTCCATAATGCGTCTTTTTAAAGCACTGTTCTTGCTGCTGCTACCAGCGGTAATGGCGCAGGATTATTATAAGGTGAGATCATCTTCCCCAAAGGCCCCGCGATAAGGGATCAAGTGTTGGCTAACCATTGGAATTCTCCCTGTAGTTGCTAGACATAGACAGGAAAGCCTCAGATAGAGATATCAAACGAGCCTACCGAAAACTGTCCAAGAAATACCATCCCGATAAGAACCCGTTAGTAACCCATCACATTTTTTCCATCCAACTTTTCTAGCTTCTGACCGTACCCATTCAGTGGCGACGAGACGGCGAAACAAAAGTTCGTTGAGGTAGCCGAAGCATACGAAGCCCTTGCCGATCCCGAATCCCGCCAGATCTACGACCAGTACGGTGCGGAGGGACTCAAGCAGCGACAAAATGGCGGAGGGGGCGGGGGGCACCACGATCCATTCGATCTATTTTCCCGCTTCTTTGGCGGCGGTGGGCACTACCACCAAGGCGATCGGATGCGCAGGGGCCCAAACATGGAGGTCAAGGTGCACCTTCCTCTGCGCGATTTCTACAACGGCGCGGAGAAGGAGTTCACTGTGGAAAAGCAGATGATCTGCGAGGAGTGCGAGGGGACGGGGTCGCATGACGGGCACCTGGAATCCTGCAATGAGTGTGGCGGGCGCGGCGTACGTGTCGTCAAGCATATGCTCGCGCCGGGCATCTTCCAGCAGGTGCAGAGCGTCTGCGAAAGGTGCGGTGGCAAAGGAAAGATTATTAGTCACCCTTGCAAGGTCTGCCACGGGAATAAGGTTGTCAAGAAGGCTGCTACTCACTCGTTAAACATCGAGCGGGGCTCGCCGAGGGGCATTCGCATCAGTTTCGAGAACGAGGCGGATGAGAGTCCTGAATGGGAGGCTGGGGACTTGATCGTTCATGTTGATGAGAAGGAGGCTGACGACAATTTTGAAGAGGAGGATTTGAAGCATAATTACAATGGCCCACCGGACGGAACTTGGTTCCGTAGACGCGGAAAGGACCTATTCTGGAAGGAAGTCCTCTCCCTCCGGGAGGCCCTGCTCGGCGACTGGACTAGGGAATTGGTCCACCTCGATGGTCACAAGGTCAAGCTCACCAGAGCGAAAGGGCAAACTGTCCAACCCGGCTTCGTAGAAATTGTCCCCAACGAAGGAATGCCGATGTTCCGCAGCGAGGGCGGCGACCAGTACGGTAACCTCCTGGTAGAATACGTCGTCATTCTGCCGGACCAGATGGAGAGCGGAATGAGGAAGGATATCAACGCCGTCTTTGAAAAGTGGAGGAAGAAGAAGGGCGTTGATTTGTACGTTGAGAAGGATGAGCTGTAGGATTTTTTTTGCATTGATTTTTTATACCGGTTAAGTTAATATGATAGATGGTTAGTTGGTTGGCTCGCCGGGGAGTGTAGTTATAACCTTTTTATTTTATTTTGTCCTTTATCCTTTATCCTTTACCTCTTCTCGTCTTACTTTTGTTTTCACCAATTTGCACCTCCCCCTTTTCAAACCGTTTTAGCCTCGGATGGAGCAGATCGAGTGATTATTTGTGAGCGGGTTATATTCCCCACTTTGGGGGATAAAAAAAAACTGTGCTCCGCTGAGACGAATAAAAGAAAGGTATTCACTACGGTACGGTAGGAGACTTGGGGAAACTCCAACATCCTAGTATAGGCTTCAATCACCAATATTCCAGTTCCTTTATCGTACGGCAGACAGTGCTTAAAACCGAGCTCCACGAACAACAGCGGATCAACAGAATGCACAGAAGAATCCCGGCAAATGTGATGACAAGAAACTCGGGGGACAGCCCCACCCACCCACCATCTATGATAATATTATGATGCTTATGGTGCGGTGCTAGATCCTTGGGAGCGGGGTTACGGTTCTGGGATTGTTGTTATCGGGATTGGTCGTTTTATGATATTAGATCGCGCAACTAGATTAGGTTGTGGATTGCAGTTAGGTTGGGGCTTTGTTTGAGTGAGCGAGAGAGGTCGGGCTTGAAAGGGGGAGAACCATCCGGGAAGGGGTTCTGTATGGTTTGGTCGTCGAGGGCCTACATCTGTATATCGTAATTCTTGGGCATAACTATCGTTAATCGCCGTGTGCTATGATACCACCACCTGTTTACTTGTCTAGGAAGGCCTTGAGATGACTGAATTATGATATATGGCTAGATTATACCACCGCTAACTGAGCATTCCCAGTCTCAACCCAGTTCCCAAACAGTGCCCCAAAAATGTTCTCCTGGGAATAAAGTCTAGCCCTCCCGAAATTCACAAGGGCTAAACTGAATAGTAAGAGGCAGCCACAGGCATCGATATCCCACCAACGACAAACACACCTGCTGGTAGAGTTTCCGAGCAGAGTGTATACTGAGGTGGCCCTGGTTTAATGACACCGGCTGCGCGCTATCATTCACGTGCTTGCTTGTTTACTTGCTCGCATGCACGTGATGTGGAATGTCTCTCCTCACCAATTACTTTCAACCCGGGAGAAAATTGAGGGAGACAAAGTTAGATGATTGGTGGGGAGATATTCGATATTCCACCTATTATAGACAGGACATCTATTGGGCCCGTGAAGGAGATGTTTGTATATGCTTGAAGGTGGGTATGTGTGATGGGACGGGGGGAGGTTGGGAAAATGGATTATTAGAACAGTAGTGTAGTGTACATTGAACCTTCCCGTAAACACTGAAGGAAGAAGCGTTCGCGCTAAGCACCATGTCAAAATGAAACAACTGAAGGTAACGGGGAATTAGTATGGAATCCTTTTATAGCTTCGCCTTCTCCTCCACGCTCCCAATCCTAAGTTTCTCAGAGTACTTTTTGAGAACTCCTTCGTTGTGATACTGCACCCCACCGCCACATGTCAGCCCCCTCCCCTCCTCATCACGTTCGTGGGAGAAAATCGTACCTTCCAAAACTGCTTGCTAGCATCCTTCCCAGCAACGCGCTTTAGAATTTTCGCTCCACCAGGGTGCTCATCGACGAAGTCTTTCATTCAAATCGAATCATTAGCCCCCGCATCTAATTCCAGTAGAGCTGGCGGGGAAGCAGGAGGAGACGTACTCGTAACGTCATAAACCCCCTCATCGATAACGATGTAGAGCCCGTTCTCAGCATCTTTGTGCGTGGAGACGTCTGCAAGGGTGAATGTTTTCGCCATGATCGTGATTATGGTTTTGGTTTTTGTCTGTTCCTGTGTGGTGATTGAGATTGGAGTGAATGTTAGGTGTAAGCAAGAGGAGAAGGAGGATAAGGGGAAGAGGAAGGATGGATTAAAGCGGACGAGTTTATTAAAGGGCAAAACATGTTTGTACTTGGGCGATGATGGGGGAAGGTTGGACCGAGGTTGTCCAGTTTTTTTCCCCCAATTCGGGGGTTCGGGTATGGGGATGAATAACCATCAATGTGTTTGGTTACCCGGGCTTGGCTGACCACGTGCTTGGCATGGTTGTGCCTGTGTCAATGATGGTTGCGAGGGCTTCTGCCATGGTGGAATTGTCAGGGCAAGAATACACGATTAGGATTGAAGAGTGTAGTGGTCAAACATGCTCTCCATCACTTAGCCGACCCAAACCTGGCAAAAGTCTTGTTGATTCCCCGTTTCGAAGGGGTTTAAATGCTGAGTGTGACCGGTGAGCTTTTTGCGGGCTTTCGGGGTGGTTGTATAATATGCATGTATTTAGAAGGTATTCTCCGACCACTTACAAAGCCCCCTGACTCTTCCCCATCATGATATTGTTATGGAGCGTCAGAGATTGGGGCGTTGTGGCGTGTTGCAGGAATTTTGGTATGATACTAGTACTCGTTCATGACCCTATCATATCATACCTTGCGGTCATATCTAATACTCGAGTAGACTAGTCGGATCGCTCATTAACATTTGCTTGTGTGGGGCTGGTGCCAAAAATGGTAAGCAGTGTGGTCTAAAGCTCCCCCACTGAAAACAGCACTTGACCCTCCAACCGCTGATTCCCGGTGGAGCAACCCAAACAAGATCCCCATCTATATGTGAAACAATTCCCTGGATTTTACTTTTCAACCCTTTAGAACTCTGTATCCACACTGTCTGAGGAATTTCCAAAGGATCTATGGTCAGTAAATTGGTCTTGGCTCAATTTCTGATGATCTTGCATGATACCGGTATGGGAAATCGCAGGGTTTGGCGCTATGTTCAGCCTCAACTTTACAATACCGGTCAATATGAAGATAAAAACCCAATGCAAAAACAAAAACGAAGGAAAATAAATCAAAAATAATAATACTAGTGTCATACTACCTGTGTTTGTATAGGTACCTATCGGGGTTAATTTGTGTTTCCGAAAAGGAAACTTTCATGGATCCGTCCGACCTCGGACTACTGGAATCTGCTTATCAAATCGCACCCCCGCGATACCGCCCGAGCACCCGACAACTTAGCATCGGTTCTACTTTTTCCCACCTTTTCCGCTATCTTTGCTCCTTCTATCGTATTTCCGCTCGGGTTGCGGGGGAGGCTTCGTTGTTGCCGGGGTTTAGGACGGGAGGAAGAGGGGGTCTGGTCGGGGTGATTATCAGATGATCGAATGGCGGCTTTTGATAAATTGTCTGACACAGTAACTTGAACGATTGGATAAACTTGTATGACCGCGAGTTGGTGGTTGGTATCATAAGCGGGATTGAGATGGGAAAGTACCGCTATCTAAACCACTGTCGGGGGTTCCACCTTGTCTACGAGTAACTAGGGGCAGGCTCTCCCGGCTTAAATAAAATATGGGGAAATATGACTCTCAGAAAATATCATACCCTATCAACTTTGCCTCCATTCCACACCGGTACGATATCGGTCCTGTTACAAGTATGATACCATACCTAGCCGACTGTATTGATCGCCAAATGCGACGAATTTTGTTCCCAATATCGCTGCTTTCACGTCCACATTGGGAAATGGTTACACGTTCCGTCTTAGCACGTGATTGTCGGTGGATTTCATTGGTTTGAAAATATAGGTGCCATGGAGTTACAATGGGATATAATCAGGAACATCTCCACCAAGCTCGCGAGACCACACATATGTATCTTTATTTCCTATCTCTAAAGGTTTAATTACTTTGAGCTATTGATTGCGGTGGGTTGTTAAATATCAATTGTGAGTGCACCCATCATTCCATTAGCCAACCAAAATTTTTGCCTCAAATAACAAAACAAACATCTAGTTTTTCTGCTGTACTGTCCTCACGCCCCACACATTATAGATTTTAAGTACCGATGTGAATTCCTATGTGAAACAGTGCTCGAGCTAAACAACAATTTTGGAAAACTTGCCGGTAGAGTTATATAGTGAAGCATGCACCAAATTCCTCAACACTACTGTTAGAAGTCGGGTTGCCCAAGCCTACACCACCATGACGATGGCGGGGCAAAACTGCTCTGAGGCAGCCAAAGAGTGCAGAGAGAGAGCCGGTTGCATAATAAGCAACTGAATTTCTCGGTGCGGGGCTCAAGCTATCATTCTGCCATTTTCATTGCCAGAGCAAGGAGAGTCTCTGTCATATTGGGCTCGAGCGGTCTACCCAGAGCGGGCACAGGTTATTTGTGAGCAATAGTGATTTTACTGTCCGAACGCTTTGTTTAGAAACACATCTGGGCGCTTAGCCTTGGGATTACTGTGCTCGAGTACTGCACTCCTACTCACTACTATTATCCGCACCAACGGCTCCAATAGCCCCTCTTCTCCAGAATCAAATCCCATATAGCGTATATGGGTATGGCTTAAAAAATCCCCTATATCACTAGAATCGAAGGATATCAGACACCTTAGGAGGAAGGGGGGTGTGGGGAAGAACTTGGCCTGGGTTCTGGCTTTATTTTAGAAGACAGTTCCTCCTGAATTTTGGGGAAATGGTGGCGACCTGTGCCAGGTGTGGTATCCGTGATTCCTGGGGTGGGGAGGAGGATACAGAACATTAGTTTGTATGGTATTAGGTCTCTTACTTTTGAATTTTTATTGTCGACATTCACCGCTTGATCGCCGATGGTAGTTTGCAGTTGACCCCCCCAATAGGAGGATGACAACGCCGCTACCCCTCCGCACAGACACCGATGGCGCCATCAGAGGAATTAAACATCTCCTGAATCGCGGGAACCCTTGTCTAGTGGCTGTATTTTCTGGGGTAAGTGAGTGTCATTGATTGGTAAGCATTCGTTTTGTGCTATAATAGATGAATTGGAGGATCAGGGTGCATGCGGGTTTTGGTGCCTATCTGTTTTCTTCTTCTTTGCATTCGGTTCTTTCACCAGACTACATATCAGTGATGACTAATGATTGAACCCAGCAATATGATTTCGCTTGTGGTGTAATATCACTCCTCTTGCTTCGGGCTGCTGACTGGTTTGCCGCGGGGCTTTGTGGACCGCTGGGCAACCCTACTCGCCCATTTATTCCCTCGTTCAGAGAATTGTGTCCCAGGCCCATGGACTCGGGCTACATCTCCCACGGTTACAAGTAGCCCATCCATGACACCTATAATAGGGGACAGCTCAAGTCTCCGGATTGCGCCTCGAGAATTGCATGTGCCAGCGGGGTATCCCGGGCTCCACTTCCAGGCCCAAGGAATGAAAATTCCGACCCGACCCAACCCGACCCAATAGGCCCGTCCCAAAAAAGAGCCCAGGTCGATCCAAGAAAGCCTCGGCACATTGGAAGGGTCACAAAAAGAAAGCCAAAAGTTCTATAAGACTTCACAAATTGGGCCCTGGCAGTTTTTGAACCTGGAAGCCAAGGCCGAATCATATCCCCACAAAACCGAGAAATCCCACATACAGGAAAGCAGGTACAAAGGAAGCCCTAGCCAGGTCGGCAGTGTGCCAGGATATCTGAGCCCCTCCCGTGCACCAAGACGGAACTAATTGGTGGTTTGTATGGGGAAACGAACGGTCATCAGGTAGAATTTAAGCTCTTCCCGTGCCAGGCCTAGAGTTCAGGGTTGTCCGGTAAGGTGGTCCATCTGCAGCGGATGATACGGTTCTCAAAGGTTGGCTAGGCCAGCTACTACTCGTAGATAGTTTCTTGCTTGGATTTGGCTGTCTCGGCGACGGTAGTGTTAGTGGTGGCCTAGGTACCTGGATATGGTTAGAGGAGTCTTCAAGGGATTTCAAAGGAATAGTGGTACTCGGGTAGAGTGGGCACCAACCCATCATACACTTTTCCTCTCCTGCATTCAAATATCTAAGAACAGTAATGGCGGGTGAAGGGGGAAGCGGTTCTGCCAGTCCCAGTAGCTAACGATGTGCTTATAAACCAAATTTCACTAGCGAACTTAACCTCATTACCGGTATCTCCGCCACCACCTTTCTCCCCTTCTCCCTAATCCCAGCCAAATACGGAGCGGGTCGCTCAATAGCTGTCGGCCAACAAACCAACGGTACACCTGAGCCGGGAGGGGGGGTAAACCGGAATCTGCGCGGGGGGTTAGAGATTGGGACACGGTGACAACCCGTCCTGTCCGCTTGATGGGGTGATTTTTGTGGCAACCATGTTAATAGAAAGCTGCTGCGAAAATATCATTCGAGAAACCGGTAAAGACTGGTTGTCACTTTGTCCCGAGTTCAAATCCCCGCCCGAGTATGATACCAAAGTCAATAAACGATTCCGACCGGCAAGAGTCGGCACGATACATCACTCGACAGATCCGGTTCTTAGCCTATTGGAGATATTCGCACGGGTACGTATCATGCGTGCCAGTGTATCATACGTCAGCTCAATTCCCTAGAACCGAACATTTCAAAACTTCTCTCCCCATATCAGTACTCTTTCATTTTTTAAACCTTTTTTTTTTTGACTTCGTGCAACCTCCTTTCTTATCATTTCCCGTTTTCAACATAGCAGGACCAGGGAATCACCAGAATATACGGCCAACTTGGTAAACTTCACCTTGCCCCCCTCGGGCCAGGCAAATTGTAGACCCAGAACCCCTTCCCTTCATTGCATCATTTCCACCTAGGTAGCCCTTCAAAGCAAGCACTACTGTAGTGGTAAGCGAAATTTTTTTGACCCACTGATTCCCATTCACTCTCCTTAGGCAGTAAGTTACCGTAGTAACTTAAATTTCTCTCGCAATCGAGGCTAGAAATAAGTTAGTAAGCGGCTAATCAATAAAGGGACCCTGAATGCCCTCGCACTGGAGTGTTGATCTTCTATCATATTCACTGACCACCCCTTTGATAACACGGCACTATTCTGGGTTAGGGGTGCCATATTTATCCTTACGATATCACGCTTTCTCACCGCCCACCGGTTACCCCTGGTTGGGTTAATATTTCTTGTGGGTTGGTTCGCGGTGCCTCCTCCCGTTTACTCG